AATTATGACGTATTATTTTACACTTCCTAGTAATGGTTTTGTAAACGCAAAAGTTTCGTTTGTATTATTCGCATGTTTACGTAAATTTTAATGATTAAGACGTTATCGGGGTTTTAATTTTTTCCTTCACGGGTTCACCATCGCGGCCATCTTTTTTTTCTCCTTCGGGAAAGTGAAAATTTAATTTTATACACGTATACATGTGATCATTCGAGAATGATTTGGAAAATGCGAAGGAACGGGAAATAGTTTTGTTTAAAATTCACGAAGGGTTTATTAACGTACGCACGAAAGAATGCCGGTAACTTATTAAATAATTAATTAATTTTTTTATTATTATTATTACTACACTTGGAAATTATTTAATTATAAAATTATTATTATTATTGACGTCGCGCTTAACCGCGAATCCGAGCGAGTGAAAATAATGCGAATTAAATTAAATGAGGAAAAAAAAAAAAAAAGATTAAATGAATATTTTTGCAGGTTTTTTTCTTGGGGGGAGGGTGAGGGATAGGAGGAGGAGAGGGGTGGGGGTTTCGAATGCTTCGTAAGGTTAGCCTACCGTTACGACGATCGGAATTTAAAAAATTACGAATGCGGTAGCCATAGCATAGCATAGCATAGCATAGAATTCCGTAAATAGAAAACAAGACGAGGAAGGAAGGAAGGAAGAAAACGAGAAGTGATGCGCATACGTTTAGTACATTCGCACGAGTAGGGGGGCGGGGGGGGAAAAAGGGAGTCGATTGAGTTTTATTAATTTTTTTTTGAAATTGAAATTCACACGAAGGGAAAATAAATTTGTAACGAATGGAAAACATAAAAAGAGAGAGAGAGAGACAGAGAAATTAATCAAGAATTTTTTTTTTACAAGGGTAAAGGAAAAGGGAAGGAGGAGGAGTAGAAGGGGGGTAATAATTAATAATTCAGAGGATCGATTTTATTGATCTTAATTTAATTAATAAAGTTTTTCCATTGCGACGATTTTGTCTCTTTTTTTTTTTCTTTATTTTATTACTCGGGTTTCTCGAAGAGTAATAATGACATTAAAAAAAGTAACGTAATAATATAAGAATGCGTACGTGCGTGCGTGCGTGCGTGCGTACGTGCGTCGCGTTACGTAACTTATGGATGTGATATTTACGAAAGGGAAAATTTCAATCGGGTAGGTTTTTAACCGGATTTATTTATTTTGAATAATGGCGAGTGATTAATTTATTTATGTACATGTGTATTCTTTGTTGTGATTTCCAACATTTTTAAATATAATAAGTTGGATAAGAAAGTTTTAATAAGAAACCGAGTACGCGACTTTCGTTTAATTCACTTTTATTTCGATCCGCGAGTTATTATTAAATTAAATACGGGGTCGATTTTAATTATTTTCACTCGAGTTAAAAAAAAAAATTAATTTTGAAAAATATTTCGAGTAGGATATTTTTATCCGTGTCATCGCCCCCGATTATTGTCACCGACGTCATCATCGCGACGTCGATTTAAAAAAAAAAAAAAATTGTATTTCCGGTGTAAGGATTCGGGTCGACGGTAGGAAATGTCCAAAACGGAGAAAAACGTTTTGAAATTCGAAACAAAAAAAAAAAAAAAAGTACACGGGCGAATCGTTAGGTAATGAATGACGAGTAAAACGTTTCTAGAACGTCAAAAAAAAAAAAAAAAAGGGGACCCCCTTTCGAAAAAAAACAAAAAACAAAATGACGACGACGACGACGACGACGGGAAAGCGTGTAACGTGATTTTAAATTAAACGAAATTTATTAATCTGTTTTTTTTTTAAATCCCCATATAAGTAAAAGATACGAAAGAATCATTTTGATTTTGATGATCCTTGTGTGAAAGTGAAGAGTCACGATTTTATTATTATTATTATTTTTTATTTTGTGAATGCCACGATGCGTATTTATTTACACGTCGCTTTTGGAATTGACAAAACGAAAAAAAAACGGTTTTCACTTGTTCGATAACAAAAACAAAAAAAAAAAATAACCAAGAAAAAGGTTTCGCAGGATTTGTACGCGGCGTAAAGGTAGTTGTGTAGTACACGCGCATGTTTACACGTTCACTTTAAGAGATTTGTTTAAAAAAACGCGGGAGAAATCGAAAGGATTTTCGATTAATCGTTTTTTTGCTATCGTTTGATCGTTATTTGTCTATCCATTCGAGAAAAAAAAAATTTTTTTTTCTTTTTTTTTTTCCTTACCGATTTTATTACCTCGTTTCGTAATGTAACATTCTCTTATTATTATTATTATTATTATTATTATTATTATTATTATTATTAATAATATTTTTATTTTATTTTTTTATTACCATTTAAATTATCGATTTTAAACAGCGGAAAATTGACTCGTCAAAGTCATTTTCGACATTAATTAGTTTTTCTTTTTTTTTTTTAAAAAAAAAAAAAAGGTTTCGTTTATCCGGAGCTGGAATAGTTAAATGTCAAAATGCCGATAATAGATTTTAAAATGGCGATTCGAATCGAATCGTCGAACCGTGCGTGTGCGTTTTCCTATTTCCGGTTCCGATTCGATCGATCGATTCTCTGCCGTGCGATTGCGATTCGATAAAATCGATTAATTAACGCTCTTTAACTCTATGCTCGCAAGTTTAAATTCTCGAGCCATTCTCGATTATTATTATTATTATTATTTGACTGACTGCTTACGTAGGTAGGTTTCTTATTCCTTTTCCTGTTTATTAAAATTTTTTTTTTTGTGTTCGGAAATGATGTTACGTAACTTGTTTTCTCTCTCTTTCTCTTTCTTTCTTTCTTTCTTCAACAAGTTTATTACTGGAATATTTTATTACGTTACGTAATTATTACGATTCGAGTTTTTATTATTATTATTATTATTATTATTATTATTATTAGTCCGTCGAACAGGTAACGTTTAACGTACATTTTTTTTTGTCATGTTCCGTTTATGTGTTACGTTGTATAGAAATCCGGTCTGGGGAGGGGGAAAAAAAAAAAAATGAATCAATTGATTAACTATCGATTATTAATTTCGATCGATTCGTTCGAATAATTTGAAAAAGACACGCTACAGCATATTATTATTATCATTATTATTATTATTACTATTATTTTTTATTGACGGGAGAAAGGCGTTAAAGGTTAATGGATTTCCAAAAATTTTATTTTACCGAGTTAGTAATTATAAAAAGAAAAAAAGAAAATCATTTCGTAAAATGTAAACTCCGCGAATTTTAGAAATGTGTGAGTAGTAATAATAATAATAATAATGATATGATTCGATTTTTCCCACTCTCTTCTCCTTCTTCCCTCCCTCTTCCCCCCTCTCTCCCTTTATTAATAAATCAATTATTATTATTATTATTATTGTTTAAATTATTCTTATATCGGAAATTAAATTTCTTTCACTTTCTAATATTTACTTTTTTTTCCCCTTTTTTTGTCTTCGGCCGACCGGCAGAAAGGGGGGGGGGAAGGAAAGAAAAAAAAATTTTTTTTCGTCTGCCTAGTGAGTCATTAAACTTTTGTAAAATCGTGAAAGCGTTTTAATTATTATTATTATTACGACGTTCGATTTGTTGCTTATCAACGAATTCGGCATGAAAATAAAATGATTGATAAAAAAACAAAAATAAAACGGAAAACGTCGAAAATAGAAAGGAAAAGAATAAAAAGGGGATCCCCCCGTAGGAGTATCAATAAATCATTTTAACGCCGAGTCCGTAGGAAATTTTTTTTTTTTTTTTTTTTTTCCATATAATTCAAGTCACAACTTGTTAACGTTAAATAATTAATTTGCGATAATAATAATTACGATGATGATGATGATGATGATGATGTTGTTGAAACGAAATGACATTGGGGTAATTAATAATAAATATATTAAAGGCTAAAAATAATTTTTTTTTCTTTTCATTGTCGTTGTTCCCAAACGTCGTGGCGGAATTAGAAAACGTAGTAGGCGGAAGTAGTAATTTCGTATCACATTTTTGTATATCTCTCAATATGGCGGCGACCGTGACCGTTTAAATTAATTTTAAAATTAATTTATTACCCATTTATCGTGTATTTATCGTGGCGATAGTAGTCGTCGTGGCAGGAGTAGTTTGTTAAACGAATTTCGGCAATAGGTGACACACATCTCGATTTTCATTTTACAAAAAAGAGAGAGAGAGAGAGAGAGAGAGAAGAAAAGTAGGTTGGTTGATTCGTTGTTTGCCTTGAAAAAGGATAATCCTTGCACGCGCAAAATTACGAAATTGTTTGCATATATGCATTATTATTATTATCATTATTATTATTATTATTATTATTATTATTTTACTTGTTATTTGCGAGATCATCGACTTATCGATATTAAACTTTTTAATTTTGTGCGTGAAGGGTCGTTGTTTAAAAGATAAATGCGATTTACCTTAACCCCCTTTTTTTTTTTTTTTGTTGCCGAAGAACTCGAGTATGGTGATATTATTCATTTTATGAAAACTTAGCCTTTTAAAAAAAATACGTTATTTATTACGTAAATCTAGTTTAACAATTTTCTTATAAATATAATAATAATAATAATAATAATAATAATAATAATAAAAACAATTATTTAATATTTAAAAATAACAAAAAAAAAAAAAAATGATTTTTGATTGCTCTTGAGACTTTCTCTGTAATTATTACAAGTCGTTTGTTTGTTTCCTAGATGATAGTTCGATTGATTTTTTTTTTTAAAACTTGCTTAACGTGGTAATTTGTAGAAGTGAGACGAAAATACGAATACTTAAATAAGTTTCAAAATTTGCTTAAAGTTCTTAAGTTAAGTTAAATTCAAAAACTTAATGCGTGTGCACATCGTAATATTATCAATCGTATATTATTAGTTATGATTTTCTTTCCCTATGTTTTTGAAGTATGCAACTGGCAGTATTTATACGCATTACAAATTGTATAAATTTTTTTAACTTATTTTATAATCGAGTTAATTAGTTATTAAGTGGTTGTTTTTTTATTAGATCGGATCCGTGTAAAAATGATCGGCTTTTATGAAATCGCTCGCTCTTTCTCCTATCATGATGACCGGGGCGTTCGGATTTCCGCTTATAATCGTGGGCATGATGCTCGCGTCGACAACTCGTAAATTTTTCACGCCGTGAACTCTCAGCCTGTCGTCCACGACCGCGTAGGGATCCGTCGACGGTCCCATTTTACACGTTCCCGTGGGATGGTAAATGGTGAACGTGAAGTGTCTCATGCTGCACTCCCAATAAGCGTCGGAAAACAGAGCGTATTTTCCACAGCCGGGTAACGGTATCGTGTGAGGCCTCGAACCGTATTTTTGAAACGCCGACGTGTTCGAAATGGCCATGGCTATTTTGATTCCTTCCGTTAATACTTGAACGTCTTCTTTATATCTGAAAGGGAAAGGCGTGTTTTTAAATGGGCTTAAAAATATTTTTGCTGACGTGAGATTTTTACATACCTGAAATAATTCGGTTCGATGATTGGGTATTGCAGTGGATTGTTAGACCTGAGTTTGACTCGTCCAGAACTCTTTGGTCTGAGTAAGAGAGGAAGAATGGTCCACGTTTCCGCATTGACCAAAGGTTTATAAACTGTATTGTACACTCGATCTCGAAGACCTAGAACTTTACGTATTTGATCTCCGTTGTCGCTGTTCACAGAACTCGGAGCAAAATGAAATTGTATGTCCGGCCAATTTCCTGCACAAAAAAAAAAATATAATTGCTCGTCTTTTTTTCTCGTAGGGGAGCGGAAGGAAGGGGAAAATGCGTAGGGGAGGGGAAATGCTATTCGTACCAAAAACATAACAAAAAGAAAGTTTTGTCGTCAAATAATTTTTTTTTTTTTTAAATTTGTCGCTTAAAAAGTTTCTCTTTTTACTTTTTGTTGGCATAAATTGCCGACCAAGCTAGTTTTCTTTGGATGGATGGAAAAAAAATTTTTTTATATTACCTTCCGGAGGAGCGTATTTGGTATTGACGAATGCAAGACCTTCGACTCCCAAAGTTGTCATAGGACCTTGCTCTCTTAATATATATTCTAACGCTACAGACGGTTTCTGAAAGCGATTTTTTTTAAAAGTAACTGGAGCATTGACTAGAAACGTAAGACCGCCGAGGCCCACGTGATCTTGGAGATTGTATCCCACCTGCGTATGTGTTTTATTATTATTATTACTATTATATTCATGGCTGCGATTCGGCACGTAAAAATGAATGAATGAACGTTGTAGAAAAGAAAGAATTTGTCTTTACCATTAAGTCTCTAAATACGGGTATATTAACACTCTCCAAATGTTTCCTAGGGCCGATCCCAGAGAGCATGAGGATTTGAGGAGAATTTATGGCACCGGCCGATAATATCACTTCTTTTCTCGCATTCACCAAATATCTTTTACCGTTTCTTAAAAGTTCCACGCCGTGAGCAATGACATCATTATTTAATTCCGCTAAAAGTACCTATAATTATTAATTAATTTATCATCACGGCGATGAAGCAACAAAAATTATTATTATTATTATTATTATTATTAATGTTTCTTTTTTTACTATTTACTTTAGTTACGTGCGTTTTTAATGCCACGTCAAGATTTTCCCTGTGTTTGATAGGGCGAAGAAATGCTTTGGCAGTGCTGCACCTGGATCCTCTCCTTATAGTCCCTTGAGCAATCATAAACCCTGTTTGATTGGCACCGTTAATGTCTCGAATGTCGTAGCCCAATTCTTTCCCTGCTTTTATAAATGCGATGGAGAGAGGACTTCGCCACGGACTTTCCTAAATTTGGTCCAAAAACCGAATCGTGAGTACCCCACAAACGAAAGGTTTTTTTTTTTTTTTTGCAGGTTTGTTGCGTACTTACTTGTACCGTCAAATATCCACCCTCTTTGTGGTAAGGTGTTTTCACCAGGTAAGGATTCCTGTTGTCTTCGGATTTTAAAAAATATGGTAAAACTTCGTCGTAACTCCAACCGGTGTTTCCCTGTGCCGCCCAATAATCGTAATCCAATTTGTTTCCCCTAACGTAAATCATGGCATTTAAAACGCTGGATCCTGAAAAATAGAAAAAAAAAGAAAAAAAATTGGTTTAAGATTTTCCGGAATTATTTGCCGGCATCGAAGTAGAAAATGATGGACAAAATGATAGGAAAGATTGGCAAATCACTGTCAAATAAAATAATAAAATGATGGGAAAACATTTCTCGTGACGTAAATAAATCACTGACTGGAAAAATTTTCGAGGTGAATGAAAGGAAAAGCATCGAAGGGAAAAACTGGAATGGAAAATATTAACCTCCCAACACTTTTCCCCTCGGCCAATTACAACGATCTCCGTTCATCGCTTGACAGTATCCTCTGTCTTCCGGTGGAGCTGTTTTGTACTTCCAGTCTAAATCAGATAATTGCATGTATCCCGCAAGTGAAGGAACGTCGGATAATTCAGTTTCATCTCCACCTATGCGAAAAGAGAAATATTCGTATTTCATTTTGGAATTTTTAGAAGAACGTGTTCGCGTTTTGGAAACTTGAGGATTATCGATAAACTTAAAATACCTGCTTCGATAAGTAAAATTTTCCATTTTGGATTTTCCGATAATCGATTTGCGACGACTGCTCCTGCCGATCCGCCACCGACGATAATGAAATCATATTCGGATAATATCTGAAATTACAAAAATTTGAAATTTATTTGAAATTAGGAAATTTTCTCCTATAAAGGTCGTAGGAGGAAAGTAGAAAGAGTTAGACAGAGATGGGTGAAAGCATTTTAAAAAAGCAAATAGAGTGTTAAAGTCGAGATAAAAGATGGAATAAATAAAGTTTGGATGGAGTAAACAAAAATGGGGGAAAGCAATAAAGGGGGATGTAAGATGTAGTGCAGACGCATGGATTTCAGTTTGATGACGTAATGGATTTCCGACTGATTTATTTATTAAAGCCAAAAAGAAAGAGGGAAAGAGAAGGAGGGAGGGAGAAAGGGGAAGAAAGAGAAAAAAAATTTTTTTCTTTCATTTTCCTGACGCCATTGGCAAAGTAGAATAGCAAGCAAGCAACCAACCAACCAGCCAACTTTCTTTTTAATTTTTACCGGTATTTTACATCATTGCCGCGATTATTATTATTATTATTATTATTATCACTGCAACTGGAACGCGCATTTTTATATTTGTATGGAAAATTCCCTTCGCGACGGTTTACTTTTTTTTTTTTTTTTTTTTTAAATAAGGAGTCAAATTGAAATTTATCAATACCGGAAATTTCCCTCAAAAAAAAAAATTTTTCATGTGTTACCGGTACAAAAATAATAATAATAATAATAATAATATTTTTTTATGAAGCAGGTCACGTGGTTTAACGAAATTAATTTTTTTTTTTTTTTGATACCTGCAAAATGGCGATTTGCATTGAAATTTTTTCGTTTTTTTTTGTTTTTGTTTTACGCACAAATTTGAACGCAGTTTTCCGTGGAAAGTAAAAAAAATGAAATTTGTTCGGTTGTTGCGGTTGTTGTTGTTGTTGTTGTCGTCGTCGTTTCGCATCAACATTCATTTAATATGAATTTTCATTGTGATTTTTTTTATATCCGTCACGATTATTAGAAAGTTGGGGGGTCGATAAGCGTACACTTATTTCCGTATAGATTTGAAATTAAATCAGTGATGCCAACATTTTAAAAAATGATTTATCATTTTTATACGATATTGAAATTGTTTTAATTCAATTTAAATTTTTGACGAGTAGGTCGCAATGAAAAAAAAAGGAATTAAACGCGATTATTTGTTTGTTTGTTTGTTTGTTTGTTCTTTTAAACTGTTGAGATATCTCTTTTCAATCCGTGTATTACGTAGTTCTAAACAATGGATTTTCTTTTTTTTTTTTTTTTTTTTCTAAACTTAACAATCGATATCGGTTTCGCTTTTGTAAAAAGAAACCTTTTAAGAAAAAATGAAAATACAATCCGAATAAAAAAATTTTTGATTTAATAGTCGATGGGGAAAGTTACAAAATACAAAATAAAACGTGACGTCTCGTGTCCAACGTTTGTTGCGGGTCAAACAAACAAACAAGCAACAACGAAATAAAAAAAGAAATTATCAAGAAATTTTATAATAATAATAAAAACGTACGACGACGACGACGTACCTGTTCGACATCTTTAATTTTCGATTCTGGGTCTGCCATTAAATAACGGTAATAAATCATGCTTATGGCAAATATGGGTACCAGGCTCACGGCCATCGTACCGGGAAAACTTCCCAAAAAAGCCATCGGAAAAGACGACATGTTTATTCACGAGTTCACTTTTTCCTCCGTGACGTTCCACGCGTGACATATTTAATTCGAAACACAAAAAAAAACAATTTTCTTTTTTTTTTTTTTCGTTTGATTTTCGAACGATTTCACGTATTTTTCCATGTTAACTTTCATAAACACAAAATCACTTTCACAACATCGTCGTTGTGTTGTAGTTTCTTCTCGTTTTGCGATACCACAAAAAAAAAAGAAGAAAATGTCGAAAGAAGTCCTCCGAAGGTAATCGGGTTCGTAGTATGACGACAAACGGGATCCGAAATATGTTTGTTGTACGACAATCGCCTGTTTCTCTCTCTCTCTCACGTTTGATCAATCGGAAAATTGCAGGCAGGTAGGAAAATTACCAATGGCGTCAATCAAACAAACACACGAGAATCACTAATTTTTTTAAATTTACGCGCGCGTAATTAAAATCCACGTCGTTTTTACGTCGCGTTTACTACCACGTCGTCGAAAATCGCAAGCGACACGAACATGTACACATAACTGAATAATAATCCATACGAGAATGGGTTTTAGAAGCGAACCTGACCATTTTCAGGTATTTTTTTTTTTTCGTTATCATTATCATTATTATTATTATTATTTTTCATTCGTATTCTTCTTTAATCCGGAGCAGAGTTTCGATGTGAGAAGCCATGGTCGCGTAACTTGATTAAAATACGTCGAACGATTTTTCTTAGGTTGCGAAAGTAACGGAATACGAATTGACCGCGAAACCTTTTGATTTAACCCGCTCGACAAAGTCTTTTAAAATTGAATTTTTTTTTTAAATTTCGCTTTCACCTGGTATTAATTTCTTTCACTTTACGAAGACCAACTTGGGGATTATTGTTTGAATATTGTCGAGAGTACCGTTTTACTCGTGATTTCTATTTATCGTTGTTATCATCATCATCATCATCATCATCATCATCGTTTTTATTATTATTATCATTATTATTATTATTTGGAGAAAAGCATTCAAAACGCGCGTATTCACTCGACAAAGAGTATAAACTCCGCAAAACAATTGGAAAATGTTTGAAAATTCGAAAAGCGGAGATAATAACTTGGCCATTTTTCATTTTTTTTTTTTGGGTTTCATTTACTTAATTTACGACAGAAACTTCTGTCTGTTTGTTTGTTTGTTTCTCCCTGTAGTTTGTTTGTCGCCTTTGGCATCGTTATTATTATTATTCTTCACCATCTTCTTCTTCTGCTTGTGCTTCTTTGTGCTGTGAGATATCTATTAAGGTCATAGACTCGTACCCGGTTGTTCCCGGCGTTCGGTAATTATTTTTCTCTCTCTTTCTCTCTCTCTTTCTCTCTCTCTCTCTCTCTTTTTCTCTATCTCTCTCTCTTTCTACGGTCAAGGTAATATACGTTTACTCAGTCGTAATTTATTTTTTATTTGCGTGTTTGCACCCACGTTAAGGACTACAAACGTGAATGCGTTTGTTAACGTAGGTCACCCACGGTTTTTCTCGTTTTTGTGAAATCCTCGTTTGCTTTTGTAAAATGGCGGGAAAAGAAATCCGGACGGAAAATCAAAGTTTAGCAAATGTATATATATAACGGTGAAGACGAGGACGATGATAATGATAAAACCATTGAATTTTCTGTACGCCGTGTGATTCGTTAAAAATAATAATCGTAGCGTGATAATATTACGATCGATGCGGAATTAAAAGTAAAAAAAAAAAAAAATTTTTTTCTGGAATTAATTCCTAAAGAAAAAAACAAAAGATTTTGCGTTTACGTAATTTTCTTTTTTTTTTGTTTTACGTATTTTTTCAATGAAGTAACAAAAAAAAAAAAAAAAAAAACTATTGTTGATATTTAAATTAATTTGTTTTCTTCTTATTTTTTAGAAACCATTATTATTATTATTATTATTAATTACGATTTTATTTATCGTCTGCTGGAAATTTTTACGTTGGGAAATTATTAATTTTTGCGGGAGTTTAACGATTTGATTGCGGTGCGAAAGGTTCCGTTTAAACTTTTTTTTTTTTTTTTGCTGAAGGGGGGTGGGAGAAAAGGGAAACAAGGGGGGAAAAGAAAGAAGAAAAAACCGGAAGTTGAAAAAACTATCGACATTAAAATTTCGCGTGAGAAATAGAGAGAGAGAGAGAGAAAGAGAAAGAGAAAGAGAGAGAAGGAGGGAGAAAAAACCAAATAATTTCTTTCGTACGGTTTTTACCACATTAAATTAACGACGACCTGAATTCGGTGGTGGTTTTCCTTGGTCTGGAAAATGATCTGGAAAATCTACTTACTTTGAGGTATTAATAATAATAATAATAATAATAATAATAGAAACCCGTAAGTACCAAAACGTTAACACAAGTTGTTTGATAATTATGTCATTAATTAATATTATTATTATTATTATTTTTAGTTTGACAAAAAAAAAAAAAAAAAAAAAACGTTCCAGTAAAATTAATATATTCCTTTTCGTTCTGGAAATTTTTTTTTTTCCCTCTCCAGAAATTACGAGGGGGGATAAAAAAAAAAAAAATTTAACATTAATTCGACTCGATTTCTCTCCCGTTCGCCGTAAACCTAATCAATCAATCAATCAATCAATCAATCGGTCAAACAAAAACAAAAGAATTTTTTTTTTTTTTTTTTTTAACTTTGATACGGTGGCAATTATCTAATAATTTGAAAACAATGAACAATTTTTTTTTTTTTTTCTAATTTCATTCATAATTTAAAAAATTTACCAACGTGGGGGGACTTTCACCGCGTTCCGAGAAGAAAGCAAATTGCAAATGGCCGCCGATCAATCATCGAAAGGTTTTTTTCTTTTTTTTTCTACCATGCGTGTTTTTCACTTCGCGGTAAAAAAAGAAAATTATTATTATTATTATTATTATTATAATTGTATTAATAAGATAAGGGAATCATCTGATATTACGATACGCTCACCTCGAGTACATCGATTATATCGATTTTCTTCTTCCGTTACGTGTTTACACGTTTATCTACATCCACGTGTGAAATGAAATCGCGTTATTTTTATCATTATTATCAATACTGACATTACGCCACATTGAATTGTTGTGACGTTGAAAGGTTTCATTGACGTCACTTTTTCGCTTAATTATTATTATTATTATTGCCTTAGCGTCGATGAGATTATGCGAGTGCGCGCACGTAAAAAAAAATTGGTAACTGATCGTATGGGGGAAAATTGTGAAAATCGAGAGGAGGAAGTTGTTCGATTGGTCGAAGGCTCGTTGCCAAAAAAAAAAAAAATTTCTCGCGTGAAAACGCGCGAGAATGCGGTGAAATCAAAAAAAAAAAAAACAAAAGAAAACGAAATAAAAAATTTAACCGTTTCTTATCGATAAGAAAGGGGAGAAGGTTGGGAAAAGGATAATGGCGTCAGAGGTTAAAATTTGTTTTTAAATCCACGACGACGGGATGGGAGGGGCGGGGGGCGTGATAAGTTTTTCGAATTCAAAGTGTATAATTAAATAAAACTAATAAAAATTTTCGTGCGGAAAACTCACAAAGCTTTAAATTAAAATAGCAAAAAAAAAAAAGACAAAATGGGAAAATAGTTTTACATTAGTTTTTGAATTTTCCAAGAGAGAGAGAGAGAGAGAGAGAAAAGAAGGGAGTAGGGGGAAAATTGGAGAGAGAAGGGAAAGGAATGGGAAAAAAGAAAAACGAAAAGTTTTTGTGAATTTTCCGCACGAAAACGAAGTTTTAAATTTCTTAATCGACAAAACGACGTTAAACCCTTTTGGGGGAACGGGATTTTCTTGTTATTGTTGTTGTTGTTGTTGTTGTTGCTGCTGTTGTTGTTTTTCTCGTTCTCTTTTATTACCAACATGATATTTGAAAACTTAAGTTAATATTATTATTATTACTGTTTTTTTTTTTTTCGTAAAAAATTATTATGTGGCATGTCGAAAGAAAACTCATCAAATTGAAAAATTACATTTCCTTTTTTTTTTTTTTTTTTGGAAAAGGTTTTCTTTATATATTTGAAATAAAATACTTATTGTTTGTGAAGGAGAAAGAGAAAGAGAAAGAGGGAAAGAGAGAGAGAGAGAGAGAGAGAAAGAGAGAGAGAGAGGGAGAAATAGGAAAAGAGATGTAAGAAAGGGGCTTTTCAAAAGTATATATTTATAGATCGTTCGAATGAAATTTTGTTTTTTTGTGTGCGTTTGCTGTTGTTTATTCAAACTGCAGTCAAGCAAGGAAAAATTTTTCAAAAAAAAAAAAAATAATAATAATAGTAATAAGAAACAAACAAACAAACAAACGGAAATTAAAAAAAAAATTTTTTTGTTTAATATTTAATTTAAAAATAAAACAAAAACATAACTACAATTGTACTTTTTTTTTTTTTTTTAAGTTGGCACATTGAACGCATTCGATTTAAATTAATTATTTATAATCATTATTAATATTATTATTATTTGGCGCGTGCCATTTTTTTTTTTTTTTAAATATTTAATTTACAGTTCGGTAGTAGTTAGTTTGGCAGTAAATTGGTAACTCTTGGTCTTTTCAAACGGTTACCCCTTGTTCGCGGGGTAACAAATGGAAAAATGGTAACGGATGATGATTATTGGTTTGCCGCCAAATTTTAAATTATTTCCCTCGCAGCGTTTTTCGTCATCGTTGAAAGAAAATCAAGATGGCGGTTTTTGGCGGTAAAAATCATCGAATAAGCATTAGAGAGTATTTTTTTTTTTTTTTTTTTATATACTTAAGGGTAAAAAATCATCATCTTAACTTGGTGACGTTATCGAAATCGAAATTTGGAAATAAAAATTGTTTTCCCAATATTTTTGTTATGTTCGAAATGTATTCTTCGAACGAACAATCGGGTTTTCCAACCGTTTTTTCCCCCACGGGCGATGATCCCCTTTCGGATTTATTATTATTATTATTATTATTCTCGTTTTCGTGTTGGATGTTTTCGTCGTACGTCGACCTTCTAGCTCTGTTGTAATTAAATAACCAGTCTTCTTTAACTAAATCCGCTCCTTTTTCTCCGATCATGATAACTGGAGCTTGAATGTTTCCACTCGTGATTCGTGGCATTATGGAAGCGTCTATGACTCGCAAATCTGAAAAAAAAAAAAAAATTTTTTTTAAATAAAGTTATGTGAAAAATGATGAAATGTTTGTCTCTCTCTCTCTCTCTCTCTCTCTCTCTCTCTCTCTTTCTGGAATGAAAGGGAAACGTATTATTGATTAGAAATAAATTTTTTTAACGGTTAGCTGATGTTTTGTTTTGTTTTGTTTTGTTTTGCTGTCGCCATCGTTGAAAATGATGAATCCGATTTTTAAAAAAAAATGACGAAATGATCAATTTAAATGATTTACGAGTTGAAAATTGATTAAATTAGAATGAAAGGCCGACATTTTGTTTTTTTGTTTTTAAATTAAAAATTCGAATTTCAAAATTCACGGTTGGAATTTTTTTTTTTTTTTTTTTTTATTATTCTGCGAAAAATTAAATCGATGTAAATAATATATATATATAAAAATTTTAAATTTTAAATTTAGATTTTAATTTTAGTAAGTGTGTCATTGGTTTAGGTTAGTCTCTGTGTTAGCATTTAAGAGAAATCGACTAAAATATGATTTTTAAATTAATTAACGAACGAACGAAACAATGATAATGTTAAACTCAACACAATAAAACTTTACCAACATTCGAATGTTAATAATATCGTATGTCTTAATACAATTTGGAGAATTTAAAGTTTGAAAATTGAATGACTTTAAATGCGGAAGCTGATATTATTATTATTATTATTTTAATGTATTTTTAATAATGTTAATTTACGCGTATAAAACTCTAATTCTAAAAAAAAATCTAGTCTATGCATTTTTTAAATCGGTAATGTAATGAAAAAATTATAACTTATTTTAAAGCAGGCGTACGAACAATTCGAATTTGTTGGTTTTGTTTGTTTTTGTTGTTGTTGTTGTTTTTATTGGATGTTTAAAAAAAAAAACTCACTGCTAATTCCGTAGACTCTTAATCTCGGATCGACGACCGCCGTCGGATCGTTGGGAGCACCCATTCTCGCCGTTCCGGACATGTGATAAATAGTTAGGGTGTATTGCCTTATAACACATTCCCAATACTCGTCGGTGAATTGTTGAAGGTGTCTACAACCGTACACGGGAGTTTGGTGAAACTTTGCACCCAGTCTAAAATTTGACCAAAGGTTAAGTTTCGTGGAGGATAGCGTCGCGTTTAAAAAAAAAGAAGAATGCGTTTTAACCTTCTCATGGAAGAAGTTTGTCCGAAAGCGATGGCTTGCTTGACTCCTTCTCTAAGAACTCTCACGTCGTCCGGATGCGTCAAGTAATTGTGGTACATGAGAGGATAACGAAGGGGGTCTTTGCTCTGTATCGTCATGTAACCTCGACTCTTGGGCCTCAAAATCATCGGGAAAACTCCGAAAACGTCTCTGAAATTAATGCTGGCAAAATTTTCTTCGTAGAATTTATCGGTGAGTCCGTGAGCTTTTTTCACTTGGTCTCCTATTAAAAGAAAAGAAAAGAAAAAGAAAAAGAAGTGAAACGAAGGTAAACAAATTACTCCGGTTGTTAATTTTAAATTATTTCCGATGAGTGACGTTTATTTAGATAAACGTTGCCAAGTTTTCACCGTTCTCTCTCTCTCTCTCTCATCGGGTAATTACATACGAGAATCACGAGCGTGTTAACCAAAGAATAGTGAAATCACATATATGTACGAATGATATAATTACCACCGTCAGAATTCGTGGCAGAAGATGTTATCATGAATTCGATATCCGGCCAATCGTCCGTTTGGTTACCGTATTTCGTGGTTATAAAGCCGACACTTTCTAGGCCGACGCTAGACGTGAGAGGTCCATCTTCGAAAATGGCGTATCTCAAAGCCGTGTTAAGGTTAACGAGTCGACGGAAAACCAAACTGAAAGGTTGATCGATTAAAAACACGATACCGCCGACAGCTATGTGATCCTGCACGGGCAAAAAAAAAAAAAGAATCGCGTTAATCATCGTTTCGATGATGAAAGACGAAAAAAATAAAATTTCAAGTTCAGGTTCACCCGGACCTGTAAATTTTGTCCGACGTAGGGGGAATCGTGTATGACGGGAATATCGTATTTTTGCAAAGTTCTCGCTGGTCCCACTCCGGACAACATGAGAAGTTGAGGAGAGTTGATGGCACCTGAAACGGAACAAAAAAAAAATTTTTACTTTTTATTCTTCCGCGACGACAAATAAATTAAAAAGGGAAAATTATTTTTATAATTTCATAGGAAACGTCACTCAACCGTCGTTAAAAAAAAAAATTTTTTTAAAGTAGTGACACAATCGGAGAAGATCGAGGTACCTGCGTGACAATACGGTGACAGAGAGTAAATCGTTGGTTATTTATGAAAGGTGCGTCGATGATGACTAAAAAAAATTTTTTTTTTTTTTTCTCTCATAAGGTTTAATTGGGGCCAACGGGGTTGATTGGTTTTGCCTTTCGATAAAGGTCGTCGACACGCTGACGGTTGACAATCGTCATCAAAATCGTAAAGTTCATCGTGGAAATAAATTATTATTATTATTATTATTATTATTATTTACCTATTAAGTAATTTCGCATGCGTTCACTTTAATTACGTTAATGATCGCGATTTATCTCAATACAAAAAAACGATTGAGAAAGAATTTTTTATTTTTATTTTTTTTGCAAGTTTTCAAAAATAATTTAAATGTCACCCTCTGGCGTGACACAATATTCGAAATCTAGGCGCGTATTTATTTATTAATAAGGAATGTAATGAAATTACGACAAAATTAATAATAATAATAATAATAATAAATAACGATAAACGAAAGTCGAGTCGGTGGTATTAAGGAGCGTACCTTTGTCATCGCGAACGCGTGCGTTTTTTTTTTTTGTAGGCAAGGCGAACACGAAGGTGTCGTCGTCGGTTTTTTTTTAAGGTCTGCCCTTTTGCATATTTTCTTACTTCTCCCCGCTGAGTTTCTTCTTATTCTTTTCTGTTTGTTTGTTTGTTTCGAAACGTTGTCGTTTATTAATCGATTGTTTGAGCATTTCCGCATCGGATTCCGTTTCGTATCTTTCTTTTGAATTTTGGGCCCCCGATTAAAAAGTATTCGTAGGTGGTTATTAAATTTAATGAAAAGGTTTGAAAAGGGTGTGCGAGGGTTGTGGTGGTGGTGGTGGTGGTGATGGGGGGAGGCGGGAAAAGGACACGAAATTTATTCGAACGTAATTTTAAAATTTTAATCCTCAGATCTCGTAAATAATAATTTTTTTTTTTTTTTATATAATCGTTTGTCACATTTTTTTTTTTTCGAGCAACAAACAACAAATCGTCTTTTTTGTGAATAATAAAAACGATTTAATTCTTTTTCGTATCATCCATTTAAAAAAAAAAATTAGTCAACCGTTTAGGAAAAATTTGTAGAACGAGATTGCCGGGATTAGTTGTATGTTTAAACGTTTTGTAAGCTTTGGGTTGGGTTTTTTACCATTAATAATGTTATTATTATTATTATTATTCTGCCTAAAAAATGAATTATGAAAACGTGGCTCGAAGGATTTAAAAAAATAAATAAATAAATTTTTGTCGTTTAAAAAAAAAAAAAAAAACAACCTGCCACCTGTGTAGGTATACCCGTGGCATTAAAAAAAATGAAATCCACGCACTTGCTTCACGTTGTTGATTACACGAAAAAATTTTATTTTTTTAAATTTTTGAAAAAACGTTTTTGTTAATCGCTTGAATTTTCTTCTTCCACGTTCCCCCCCCCCCCCCAAAAAAAAAAAATAAATTCAAAGCTCCGTTATAAACGAATGATTTGTTTTAATTAGGGCACCGCAACAACAACAACAACAACAACCGGGTAGTAATACTTTCTCTCGTAGACGAAAGTGTCGTAATTATCAATTAATTAAAAAAAGAAAAATAATTAATTTACGTTTTTACCGTTTGTCTCTCTCGTTTGTGTCTACGTTTATTTCGACAAAGTTCGAATTAAAGGGAAAGGAAAAAAAAAGGTTGAAACTATGAGGGAGGAGGAGGCGATGGGGGCGGGCGCGCACCCCCCAAATGATTTTCATTCGATTGATTGTATTTACCTGCTGATAAAATGACTTCTTTTCTCGCGTACACGACGTGTTTTCGTCCATCCCTTAAAAATTCCACACCGTAGGCTCTCCTCGTTTCCGGATGTATCAAAACTCTCGTGGCCTGAGACCATATTGACACGTGTAAATTCTTTCGAAGTCTCACCGGTCTTAAAAATGCCTTGAATGAAAATCAATATGAAGTATAGGGGGAAAAAATAATAATAATAATGAGAAAACAATTTAAAAAAAGGGGGGAAAAAGATTTCCATTCATTCATTCATTCATTCGTTCATTACTCGGACTACGCCATTTTGTTTTTATATATTTATATTCTAAATTAGGGAGGATGATTTAGGCTCGGTTGTTCACACATTTGTTTTAATTACAATTTTTTTTTTTGGGGAAGGGGGAGTGAGGGATTTACCTTTGCCGTACTACACCTGGTTCCCCTTCTCATAGTGAACTGATAAAAAGCGAATCCGGTTTGAAATTCCCCATTGACGTCCCTGAGTTCGTAACCCATTTCTTGACCGGCTTGCAAATACGCGAGACCTTTAATGATAATTACAAAAAAAAAAAAAAAAAAAAGAAAATTAATTTTTTTTAATTGCGGAAAATTAAGTGTCAATATAATGAAATAGCAGTAGGTCGTGGATTTTTCCACTCGGATTTTTCTGGAAAATTTTGATTTCGTTCGGAAAATTTTTCTAAATTTGACGAATGCCCCGTATTTGCTCCGATACTCACCCAACGGAGTATTGTAGGGACTGTCTTGAATGGTTAAATACCCTCCGGTTCCGTGATAACGAGTATTTTGTGCCAGATAAGGATTCCTCTGATCTTCGGATTTGATGAAATAAGGCAAAACGTCTTTGTATCCCCAACCGGTGTTCCCGAGGGATTCCCACTGATCGAAATCTCTTCTGTTTCCCCTTATGTAAAGCATAGTGTTCAAAACGGTGGATCCGCCGAGAACCTTCGAAAATAAAAAAAAAAAAAAAAAGAAGGGGGGGAAATAAAATAACCTCCACGAAAACTATAATTAAAATTATTATTATTATTATTATTATCGCGTACGTGTGTATTTATTAATGGAAGTCATTGATGATGGAATATTCCTATTGAATAAAATATTGCATAAAAAAAATTTTTTTTTCTACTATTATCGAAAAGAAAATGATTATTTATAATTTTTTTATATACCAACTTTCACAAAAATTTTAATTCAAGGTTTTTGTTTATTATTATTATTATTTATTTATTTGGGTCGTTTCGCGCATTTTTTTTTTTTTTTTTTTTTTTTTTTTTTGACTTGTTTACCTTGCCTCTCGTCCAACAGCATCTTCTATCTTTCATGGCTAGACAAGCCGTGTTACCCGGTTGAGTCCTATATCTCCAATCCAACCTGCTCTTGTGAAGATAGAGGGAAAGGAGGGGGACGTCGGATATTTCGGTTTCGTGGCCTCCGGCTTCTAATATGAGAACGGACCAATTTGGGATTTCGGTCAATCTGTTGGCCAAAACGGCTCCGGCTCCACCGGCGCCGACGACGACGAAATCGTATTCCTTGTAAAAATTTTTCACTATTACGGGTCGATTTTCCGGATCGAACAATTCGTAATTGAAATAAGCTAGAGTCGCTATCATGGTAGGAATGTAAATGAGAAATTTCGAACCGCTGAGCAAAGATACGGAGGCTTTAATGGCCGCCACGACGACGGACACGAGAAAAGCCATTTTTGTTTATTTATTTTAAAAAAATTTTCCTTCTTTCTTCTATCCTTTTATTACTATTATTATTATTTTCGTTTTTTGTTTTTCTCTTCTGTCCGAATGCTTCTTATGATTTTATTATTATTATTATCATCATTTTCGTTCGAAACATTTTCTCCTGAAAATAAATAAGAAAAAAAAAAAAAAGTTGACCTAATGACCTAATGTGCTATTTTATAATTTATATAAGTTTGTTAAATTGTTTGCGATGATTTATTATTATTATTATTATTATTATTATTATTATTATTATTATTATTATTCTTTTATTACCTGAAAAAAATGAAAATTTTTTTGTTTCACCTTTGACCTTTGTTGGTTTATCTCTTTTAATTAAAATTAGCCACGATTTTTTTTTGTAATAATTAAAAGGTCACGTGAAAAATTTTCACGTAATTTTCATAGTTTCGAATCGTTTGTCGTTTTTTTTTTTTTTTTTTTGATTTCATTTCAAAGTCATTATTATTATTATTATTATTATTATTTGAGCCTTTTCTTACCCTTTCCCGCCATTTTTTATTATTTAGGTTGATGTCCCCCCGGAAAAAAATTTGTTTGAGTTTTCATTTGAAAATTTTCCATTTTTATTATTATCGTTAGACGCACGTTTTATTATCATTATTTATCAAACGCGATAAGATTACGTAGATTAGAAAAAAAAAAAAATGGCAAATTAGATATGCAACCTTCTAGAAGTTTTCTTCTTTCTAAAATTTTGTTCATTCGTACGAAAATAAAAAAAAAAAAAAAAATGGCGTCAAGTTTTCAGGGCGTCGATAAAAAATTAACTCGTTGCCTATATCATTACGTTGTCGTTGCCTTTTCGTGGCATTTCATGATTATTATCATTGTAAACGTGCACGCGGAGGAAAAAAATTATAAAAACGTGGCCTCAAATGCAAATCGGATAAATGCAACATGCACTTCCCCCCCCCTCTCTCTCTCTCTCTAAAAGTGCAACGAAAAATGAGAAAAAAAATTGCATTGCGGGGTCAATTTTTTTATTTTTTTTTCACGAACGGTTATTATCTTCATGGTCGCCAAACGTAACAAATTCTGGGACTTTATTTAAAAAAAAAAAAATTTAGGTCTACCAAACCGATAAAAATTAATTATTATTATTATTATTATTATTATTATTATTATTATTATTATTATTAGTGTCGTTAAGGTTTTACCTCATTTTCCGAATCGATCTCGTTAATAAAAAGGATCATTTTCCTTGCCCCGAGTCTCCTAATTAACGATCTTGTACTTTGCACTTATCCTTCCGAAAAGGTTTTTTTTTTACCTTCTCCAAATAATTTTAATAATAATAACAATAATTATCACCGAGAGTGGGAATGTGTCGTTAAATGTCCGAATCAATGTTTGTTTGTTTGTTGGTTGTTTGTAAAAAATAAAATTACGTTTGTCGTTAATTTTTATTAAATCGAAATAAATTTTTTTAGTACGCGGTCAAGAGCGCGTTCAGAAATGAAAAAAAAAAAAAAAAACGGAAATTTTTTCAAATTTAAATTAGATTAACGGCCCTGTTAAAATTATTATTATTATTATTATTATTATTATTATTATTATTATTATTATTATTATTATTATCGTTTTAAAATGTAAATTTAATTTTTCAAAACGTTTACAAAATCATCATTATTATCGTTTTTTTTTTTTTTTTTTTTTTTTTTTTTTTTTTTTTTTTGCTATGATTTGACGAGTGTGATTGGAAAATAATTTAATTTTGTATAAAAAGAATTTTTCCTTTTCTTCTTTTCGTTTTTATTTCCGTTTCCGGTCTGGAATCTTAATGAAAATGTATTGAAAGTATTTTAACAATAAAGAAAAAAATAAAATAAAATTTGATTTTTCGATTCGTGGGTGTTGCGAGTTTTTCTTCGAATGTGAAACCTTCTAGAAAAATCATTTCTGGTTACGTAACCGTCATCGTCATCGTCATCATCATCATCATAATAATAATAATCATTAAAACGCAACAATTATTTTTTATTATTATTATTATTATTTATTATTGATTTTCGTTTGCTCAACAACAACAACAACAACATCATTATTATTAATATTTTTTTTACACTCATGGAGAGAAAGAGAGAGAAAGAGGTCACGGAGAGCTCTCGAGAATGAATGAACCTTTTTTTATCGTTTTTCCATATAAGAATTAATTAAACATCGTCTGCTTTCACCCAACGAAAAAAAAAAAAAAAAAAAAAATTCGGGTTCGAAAACTTTGAGAAAAAAAAAACAAAAATTCTGCCTACGCGAACGCGGAACGTACGCACGTACACCCGCACGTACGCACACACGTGGTTTTTTTTTCTCTTTTCCTGGCGGGGGGAAGCTTAATAGTTTTGACTTTTCTTCTCCGCATAATTTCATTACTACGCGACACGCGCGGGAAATCATTCAAGATGGCGAATTTTTTGCGTTCGAGTTTGTTTTCTTTTTTTTTTTTTTTTTGCGTTTGTTAGATAACAAACAGACAAACAGACGGACTCATTAATAGTAATTAATTGTTTTAAATTTATTACGACACGTTATTCATACTGATAAGCGACAGAGAGAGAGAGAGAGAGAGACAAACGAAACGAGTTTGGATATTAAAAAGATTCGCAAAAATATAAGAAAAAAAAATAATAATAATTTTGCATAAAAATTAGAACGAGATTACATGAATTAAACGCACGCACGCACGCACGCACGCATTCACGCACGCAAACACGTGCGTATCTATAATTTATCTAGCGCAAAATTAAGTTGATTACTTTTTTTTTTGTAATTAAAAAAAAAAAAAAATAATAATAATAATTTACTAAAAAAAAAAAAAAAATTTTTTTTTTCACGAACGTTAACGTTATTATTATTATTATTATCATTATTATTATTATTATTTGTAATCCATTAATTATTTTTTTTATTTTTTTTTTGCGTATAATCGGGTTGATTGGATAAGAAGATGATGAGAATTGATGATTTAACGGTTAAATTTTTTGTTTATTGCTTCATGAAGATATATCTCATTCGTAATGGAGGTCTTTATGTCTTTCTTTCTTTCTTTCTTTCTTTCTTTCGGTTAAAAAAAAAACGAAGAAGATTAAAAACTGTTAACGACAAACAACAACAACAACAAAAACAAAATGTTCGTTAATTTCCTTGTTGTTGTTGTTGTCGTCACGATGGCGTTGTGTTTGTTCCTACTTTGACTATAATAATAATGACTTTTACTAATTCGGCAAAAAGTAAATAAATAATTAAACAACGTGCGATGGCAAATTTAACACAAAGATGGTATTGTTGTTGTTGTTGTTTGTCTTAAAGCGAAAAGGGGGGAGTGGGGGGGGAACGCGGGAAAAGGGGGAAATCTCCGCGACCCACAAAAAAATTTTTTTTTTTTTTTTTAAATGCAATGAAGTAAAATTAATAATGATGATAATATTAACATGTTTTTTTTTTCTTTTTTCGTTTCAGGTACGTTCGATAACAAATAGATAAACAATCAATCAATCAATCAATCAATCGATTTTATTTCACGATAACTGTTAAATCCGTGATTTATTTACCGACGGTTATCTTTTTTTGGTTTTTTTTTTTTTTTTGGTTTTTCGATCTTATCGTAAGTCGTTATCGATAAGCACGTATTTAAGGTACGTAAACACTCGATACCCGATGAAGATAATAATAATAATAATAATAATAATGATTATATTTTTATTGTTTGAATGTGAGCGCGACGTTTTAATAAAATTATTGTTTCGAAAACAGGTGGCAGGCACAATGAGACGTTTTTTTTTTAATAACGGCATCATCTCGATTGAAAGTGATATTTTATTATCATCATCATCATCATCATCATCATCATCATTATTATTTAAATTTTGATTAAAAATTTAATTTGAAATTTTGCGCAGCGTAAAAAAAAAAAAAAAAAAAAAAAAACGTTAAAACGGATGCCTAACAAATAGAATTTTTTCGGATTTTCTTTTCTTTTTTTTTTTTCGTTCGTTCTCGCTTTTCCTTATTGGCCCCCGCCCCCCGCCCCTCACGTTTCACTTTCACTCCCCCCTCCGTTTTTAATAATGAAGAACATTATACCGTAGATTTTTTGATTTTTTTTTTTTTTTTTTTTGGGAAACGTAACGCTAGCCGAAAAAAAAAAAATTTTTTTTTTTTGTAGGATTTGATTTACTTGCACGTCGTAATATAATTATTTATGTGTCATTACACTTAATGACAGAAAACGTAATTATTATTATTATTATTATTATTATTATCATTATTATCATTATTATCATTATCATTATTATTATTATTGCTACTTTTATGTAATTACTCCGTTTATTAAGTGTTTCTTTTAAAATTTCAATTTTTCTTTTTTCTTTTTGTTGTTCTTTTCTTATTTGAATTCGTTTTTTCGTTTCGGATTTCGTTTGTCAAAATTGTTTTGTTTTTTTTTTTCCTAAAACTCGGATAAGTGACAGTGAGAGTAAAAACAAACAACCGAACAAACAAACAAACAAACAAACAACTCGATGATTTTAAATCAATCGAAACAATAATCACCGTGATGAATCCGTTTGGTCTTTTCTTTTTTGAACGTTTTGTTTGAAATTGTTTTGTTTTGTTTTTTTTTTTTTATACTATTAAAGAAATTATGACTCAGGTCACGCATTGTGCGTGACGAGACATTACGCACGTCACGAAATAATAAAGGTAAACTTCGAAATGTAATAAATAATCACGATTAAAAAGTGTTTATTTATTTATTTTATTTTCTCTCGTTGAGATTTTTTCGTGTGAGTTCCGCTCTCCGCATGTCGTTTCGATAATTTCATTTTCTCAATTTATTATTATTATTTACCTTTTTATGAATAGAAAAAGAAAAAAAGAAAAAAAATTTCGAAAAGGAAACGGGAAGGGGAGGCGATGATGATAAAGCCGCCAACAATTTCAATATA